CATTGTCCATAGCTCACGAATTTGTATATTATCATGTCTGGCCATTTCTCCTTCCAAGCAAAGTAAACAACCAGGTGCACTGTCTGAAGTTCTGCTCACTGGATTTCCCTTCCAGCGATGGATTTCCTTGTCCTTCAGGGGTATTCCAGAGAAAGGTTGTAGAGCTGCAGTTGTCCACTTTTGGGTGGTACCTTCATATTGTGGAGAACTATCTATAAACAAAGCCCCAGTTTTCTCTTCTTCTGTCAACTGACTGTAAGCAGTTCTGCATGAGCCCACAGTGCAGACTGGGAAAGAGACAGCAGGAGTGGGGACCATGGGCATTTGGGTCACTTTTTCATGTGACTTATTTGTGTCCCCAGGGCCTGTATGGGCTCAGTCATGTGTATACTACTTCCTTTTGGTGATAGAATGTTGCTGTGCCTGCCTAGATTTGTAGCTTGGTGGGTCAGATATGAACCCAGTTCATAATGGGCACCTCAAGTTGCATGGTAACTTTTGCGGCCATGGTTAAACATTTAGTGCCCACTAAGGCCTAGTAGCAGGCCAAGATCTGTTTCCCAAAAGGAGAGTAGTTATATGTGGAGGATGGCGGGGCCTTGCTACAAAATCTTAAGGGCCTGCACTTCAATTCACCTCTAGGGATCTGCCAAAGGGTCCAAACAGCATTCCTATTTTCTTCTGACCCTTGAAGCAACACTGGATCTGCTGGGTGCTATGGCCCAAGTGGCAGGGCAGCTTGCATAGCAGCCTGGACCTGTCGCAGAGGCTGCTCTTGTTCTGAGGCACAACCAAAAGTAGCAGCTTTTCACATCACTCAGTAAATGGGGCAGAGTAACACATCCAAATGAGAAATATATTGCCTTCAAGATCCAGAGGACCCCACTATGCGTTGTGCCTCTTTTTTGGTTGTAGGAGGGGCCAGATGCGACAAATAGTTCTTTACCTTAGAGAGCTATGTTGACATGTCCCACTCCACTGGATCCCTAGGAATTTCACTGAAGTAGAAGACCCCTGAATTTTAGTCGGATTTATTTCCCACCCCCTGACATGCAAATGTCTTACCAATGGGTCAAGAGTAATTGCACTTCTTGCTCACTAGGTCCCATCAGCCTAATGTCCTCAGTTGTAATGGATCAGTGTGATACCTTGTGGAAAGGAAGAGCAATCAAGATCCCTGTGAGTTAAATTATGACATAGGGCTACAGGGTTGATAAACCTCTGAAGTAAGAGAGTGACAGTGTATTGCCGGTCTTGCCAGCTGAAAGCAAACTGCTTCTGTCTATAAGCAAACTGCTTATAGACAGGTATGGATAAAAAGGCATTTGCCAGATTAATAGCTGCATACCAGGTACCAGGGGATGTGTTAATTTGCTCAAGTAATGAAACTACATCTGGGACAGCAGGTAGAATCGGAGTCCCTACTGGTTAAGTTTACAATAATCCACTGCCATTATCCAAGATCCATCCATCTGTCTTCTGCACAGACCAAATAGACTAGCTGGATGGGGATGTGGTGGGAATCAGCATCTTTCCATCTCTCAAGTCCTTGATACTGGAGCCAATCTTTGCAATCCTTCTAGAAATGCAAGATTGTCTTTGGTCTACTATTTTCCTAGGTAGAAGCAGTTATAATGGCTTCCCCTTGGCTTTTCCCATCTTCACAGCCCTCATTCCCCAGGTCAGGAAACCAATGTGGGGATTCTGTCAGTCACTACATGTGTCTATTCCAATTATGTATTCTGGAACTGGGGAAATATCCACAGGACTGGTTTGGGAAATTGGAAGACCCCAAAGGCAATCACAGCAACAACAAAAATAAACAAATGGGACCTGACCGAATCAAAAAGTTTCTGCACAGCCATGGAAACTATCACGAGAGCACACAGACAACCTACAGAATGGGAGAAAATATTTGCATGTTACACATCCAATAAAGGGCTGATAACTAGAATCTATATGGAACTCATCTGGAAACTCTTTCTTCAGCTCAAAACAGATAGTTTTGCAGTTCACCTATTCTCCTCTGCCAGGAACTCTGATGCACAAAGAAGAGAGGGAGAAGTACACTGCCTTTTGGTTTGTGCAATTAAGTACCCACTGTGGTGTTGCTGGCAATTTGGGATCTGTTTGGCCTCAGACTCCTGGGAGAGTGATTATGTGCTAGCCATGATATTTTTGTCTTTGAAGAAATTTTTCCATGTCTTCCAAGTTATGGAATTTGTTATCATAAATTTATTTATAATATTTCTTTATTGCCTTTTAATGACTGTAAGATCTGCAGCAATGGTCCCTCTTCTATTTCAGATTATTGGTGTTTTGAGTCTTTTCTCTTCTTTTCTTGATCAGTCTGGCTAGAAGTTTGTAATTTCATTAATCTTTTCAAAGAACTAGCTTTTGATTTCATTGATTTTATCTATTATTTTCTGTTTTCCATTTCCCTGAATTCCGTTCTTGTCATTATTTTTTTTTTTCCTTCTTCTCCTTTTCTTGGGTTTAATTTACTCTTGTTTTTCTAAATTATTATCATGGACACATGTAGACCATTGACTTGAGACTTTTATTTTCTTCTAATGCAAGTAATTAACGCAATAAATTTCTCTCTAGACACTTTTTTGTTGCATCCCACAGATTTTAATGTGTTATATTTCATCCCATTAAAATATTTTGTAATTTCCTCTTGTGATTTCTTCTTTGAGCCATAGGTTATTTAGAAGTGTGTATTTATTTCCACATATCTGAGGATTTTCCTGATGGCTTGCTGTTTTATTTCTAGAATAATTCCACTGTGGTCAGAAAACATACTCTATGTTATTTGAATTGTTTTAAATTTATTTAGTTCATTGAAACTTCCACTTTTTTTGTTTTTGGCCCAAAATATGATCTATAATTATGAATGGTTCTGCTGTTGTTGCGTCACGGATTCTATAAACATCAATTAGGTCAAGTTGTTTGATGGTGTTGTTCATGTCATTTATATACTTACTCATTTTTGCCAACTTTTTCTATAAATTTCCAAGGGAAAAGTATTAAAATCTCCAAATATAATTGTGAATTTGTCTATTTTTTCAGTTCTGTCAGTTTTTGCTTCATGTATTTTGGAGTTCTATTATTGGATGCATACACATTGAGGATAGTTATGACAACTTAATGAATTGACCTCTTTATAATAATTATGTAGTGTTCCTTTTCATCTTCAGTAATAGTTGTTATTGTAAAGGACTTTGACATTAATATAATATATAGATATAATATATTAATATAGTATGTAGATATAATATATTAATATAAAATATTGATATAATATGTTAATATAGCCAATCTAGTTTTCTTTTTATTAGTGTTTGGATAGTCATCTTTTGTCATTCTCTTTTTTAATCTAGCTGTGTTGTTTTATTTAAAGTTGTTTTCTCATAGATAATATATAGTTGATCTTGCTTCTTTGTCCAAACTGACACTCTCTGTATCTTAATTGGAATGTTTGAACTATATATGTTTGATGTAATAATTGATATGGTTAGATTTAAATATATGATATTGCTATTTGTTTTCTATTTGTCCTGTTCTTTATTTCTTTCTTCCTCTTTTTCTCCCTTTTTTAACTTTATTTTTTATGATCTCATTTTATCTTCACTATTGGTTTTTTAGTTGTACTTCTTTAGTTTTGTTGTTGTTGATATTTGTTTATGTTTAGTGATTGCTCTAGGGTTTCATTATACATCTTTAGCTTATCATAGTCTACCTTCAACTCTACGTATGCTATGAGATTCTTTCACCTGTCTCTCCCTTAGTCTTTGGTGTTATTATTGTCACTTGTTTTATTTCTACGTATGAGACATATGCCACAAAGAATGAGAGAAAATGTTGTTTGTATTTACCTACATATTTTCCATTATTCTTTACTCTGTTAGATCCAAATTCCCTGCTGACATTAGTTTCCTTCTGCCTGATGAGCTTCCTTTAACATTTCATGTGGTGGAGGTCTGCTGACCTTTGTTTAAAAAAGTCTCTTTTTGTTGTTGTTTGTGTAAAAGTCTTTATTTTGTCTTTGTTTTTGAAGGATATTTTCAATGGAAATATAATCCCATATTGATTGTTGTTTTTTCCTTCAGTGCCATGGTCCTCTGGCTTGCAGAATTTCTGACAAGAAATATGCTGTAATTCTATTTCTCAATATGTAAAGGGGATTTTCTTCTCTGGCTGCTCTTTACCACCATTTTCCAGCAATGTAACTATAATGTGCTTTTATGTATTTTTCTTTGTGTTTATTCTGTTTGAAGTTTGTTGAGATTCTTGGGTCTATGGATTTGCCATTTTCATTAAATTTTGGAAATTTCAGCCATTATTTCTTCAAATATTTTGTTTTCCCTCTCTCTCTTCTCCTCTTAGAAATCTATTTACCATGTGTTAGAAAACTTGATATTTCCCCAAATGTCACTGGAACTGTATTCAATTTAATTTTTTTTTCTTCCTGTGCTTCATTTGGAGTAATTTCTGTTCTTAGCTCTTTATGTTCACTAATTTTTTATTTTGTAGTATTAATCTGCTGTTACTCCTATCCAGTGTATTTTTTTATCTAAAAGATTCCATTTTCATCTCATATGTTCCACTTGAGCATTTATTTATATCTTCCATTTCTCTTATCATTATATTCATGTTTTAATTTATATTCCTGAGCACATAGAGCATATTTCTAATAACTGTTTCATGGTCCTTTCTCTGTAATTCCATCATCTTTATCATTTCCAGTATTGTTTGTACTTTTTGATTATTATCCTGACTATGGATCATATTTTCCTGCTTGTTTTCATGCCTGGTAATTTTTCATTAACTGACGTACATTATGGATTTTTTTGTCTTGTTTTCTTTTGTTTATGGATGCAAGATTTTGTTGTATTCCTTTAAATAATTGTGGGCTTTCTTCTGACATATAGTTAAGTTACTTGGAACTTAAAAAGTTGAAAGTTTAATTTTACTTGAAAGTTCAATTCTTTCAAGCCTTGCTTCTAAGCTTGTGAGGCTGGGTCCAGAGAAGTCTCTGTCTCAGGGTTAATTTAGCCCAACTAGGAAGGCACTACCTTTGAGGACTCTACCCAATGGCCTGTGTATTATGAGGTCTCTCTATTATGACTGATGGGAAAGTGAACATTTCCTAGCCCTGTGTAAACTCCAAGAATTGTTCACCTTACCTATTTCAGGCTCCCCCCTTCCCCCAGCCCCGTGGTTTCACCCCATACACGCACAGGTCAGTATTAGGCAAAGATTGGATGGGGCCCTTCTGTAGAGCTCCAGAGTGTTCTCACTGTGCATCTTCCTCATTTCGAGTACTTTGCCCTGGTCTCCCTGAAGCCTGATCTCCATCACCTCACTCATGAGACTGCTGTACCGGGTTGGGTTTCCCCTTTCCTGCCCTGCAGCCTGGAAACTGCCTCCAGGCAGTAACTAGGGTGATCCTAGGGAGGGCCCATACCAAGTGTTTCCCACTGTCAGAGATTGCGGTCCTGCTTTGCTTTTGTCCAATGTCTGCAAACAGTTGTTTTACGTATTTTGTCTGATTTTCTAGTTGCATATGTCAAAGGGGTAATTCTGTTGCAGTTAATCCTTCAGGAGCAGAATCAGAAATCAACATTTTTTTCAGGTATTTTCTACCACTTCTCTTGTTTTAATGTCCTCAACATAACTTTCAAAATAATTATATGAGGCAAGTGTGTGTGTGTATGTATGTGTGTGCACATGTGTGTCTGTGTGTATGACTATGTGTACAATTATCCTCACTACCCCAAATCAGTTACATCTCTGAGCCTGAGTTCAGATGAAGAGATTCTTGACAAAGAGTTTGGATAACAGAGGATACCTTGTTTTCTGGCTCAGTTTCGTTCTTAACTTTTAGCTAGTGGGTACCAGAGTTGGGAGAAGAGAGAATTCTCAGTCAGGATCTCAGTCAGAAAGACATATTACGTTCAAATGAAAAAAGAAGACATTATTTAGAGAGTGGTGGGCAAGATTAAGGGAACCCAAAAGAACCCAAACACTAGCAGCAATGGGAAGATTAACATCCCTAGACCTAAAAGGATAAGGAGAAATGTTGTTCCCAGGGCCACTCAATGGGGTCTGTGGCTGTAGAGGGATTTAGCCACTGCTAGGTTGTGGCCGAGGTCTGGGGGAGTACATACGGGGGAGGTCATAGTTGTGGTTCTCTAGAAGCAGAAGTGAGACAAGAATTTGTGTGTAAGGGAGTAATTGAGGAAGTGCTTTCCAGAGACACACTGCACAGAATAGGGGAACCAAGATAGGGAAAGGGAGAAAGCTTTGCAAGAGTACAGTCCCAGCTCCAGCCCAAACCCAGAAGTTGCTCTGTAGTGAAATCATGTCACAGTTGTCACACTTCAGAGTTTGTCCCACCTTAAGACACAAGAACTGGGGTTTTATCCTCTCCTACGAGTCATTGGCTAATCTCCAGGAGAGACATAACATTGCAGGCACTCACAACTCTCTGCTTGTATGGGTGAAGTGACTCCAGTGGCCCAGAAGTAGTCTTCTGAGGAAGCTACAGGTGTCAGGAAGCTAACAGGAGAAGCAAAGAACATATAAACTAAGAAATGGACACAGAGACACAGGCATGTGGGTGTAGTACCGAGTGTTCACCACAGCGGAGGAGGGCAGTAGATACCCCAAACACACTCTCCATTGATCTTCCATTGACCAAACCCAAGTAGGAGCTGGAGGGCAAGGCAACCCAGGGGATGCTGTCCTGGGTGTTGGCCTCCTGGGACATAGTGGAGGCACCAGAGAGTGGTAAATGAATCTGGAGAGCAAAGGGGAAATAATTGGAACAGGAGGCATGGGTCAAAAATTTCATACATATCTATTTGGTCCTTGAGTTCGAAGAATGATAGTTTGGAAAGCAAGAGATACTTGAATGTGTATAATATGTATATAACTAAAGTTTACTGAAGAACTAATAACCATAAGATAATACCATGGATTATACCCTTAACATATACAACCACAATGAGTAAGATGTGCAACGTTTGGGGGATGGACTCACTTGAAGCTCTTACTTGAGGGAGGAGGGGGGCATGGGCAATATATGTAACCTTAACACTTGTACCCCCATAATACGCTAAAATAAAAATAAATAAATAAATATTACTTATGTGACTGTAGAGTAGCCTCTTGGATTAATTATTCATTTATAAAATTAAAAAATGCATTGTTTTTCTATTTCCAGCAGGGACGGTTATAACAAACAACATGCTGAGTGGCTGAGATAAAAAGAACTATCTCCGAATCTTCGCTTGAAAACATCTCACTGAGTTTTTTTGTTTGTTTGTTTAAAATGGTTAGAGCATTTGTGTTCAAGTTCTAGGTACAGATGAGATAGGAATAAAAAAGTACCCTAAAAGTATATTTACGGAGTTTGGATCCTAAAAATGAATTAAACAAAAAGACATTGATAATTTTGTGATATTGAGAAATCCTGAATAAAATCATTGTTACTTGCTTTTTTGAGCATTTTGCTTGCATTTCATTTCTGCTTCTCTGATATTTGACACTAGCTCTGTGGAACAACATGACTGCTTGTGAAAGCTCAGATTCCAAAGGCTCATGGCAAGAGCAATAAGTTTGTACTAGGAGGAGATGGGCCAAATACAAAGTTCTGGGAGATGTCATCCTCATATGCATGGCACTGCAGCACAAAGGTTATGTCTTGTAAACTCCAGTGGACATCATTCCCAATCCTGATACAGCTTATCCAAGACTCCTCTTTAGCCCAAAAATGGTATGTCTATAATCTGGATCCTTTATAAATAGATTTCCATACATGTGTTTATATAGACTTATATAGGCCCAATATCATGTACTTTTTGAGATCCTGTGTGTGTGTGTGTGTGTGTGTGTGTGTGTGTGCCAGTAAAAGCACTTAACTCATGTTAGCTTGGCCATAAATGGGGATTTATTAGCTCCATAACTATGCTGGAGAAATGGCAGCAAAGCTACTAGAACTTGGGGGTGTCCAGAACTAGGTCTTTCCTCTGTCAGTTCCCTCTGCTTTAATCTTTATGTTGGTTTCATTCTTGGTGACAGGATTTCTCCACTTACAGGGAAACATATCCTGGCTCCCATCTCTACTTAACAAGGGGCTGAGGCTTGCCTTTTCCCATGCCGAGTGGAAACATCCTAGAGAGGCGCTTGGTGGCCTGACCTGAGTCAAAAACCTACGGCCAAGGAGATAGGAAACTCTGATTTGGCATCTCCAGGTCACGTGCTCATTCTTTGGCCAATCAATTGAGTCAGACATGGGAAAGTGAGATCAATTCCCTTTGAAACTTATGGCTAGACTCAGAGGGAGGAAGAAAAAAGAGGCTGATGTCTGGCTACCCACTCTGAAAGGGGTGTGACTATCCTCATTTAAAAAATAAGATAAACAAGTCCCAGAGAAGTCAAGGGACACAGAGGTAATAGGTGGCAAAGCTGTGATTGATGAGACGAAATACATTATAGAGAGACCTGAGGCCAGATCCCAATGCTGCTCCTTATCAGTGTAATTTGAAGGTAAATTACTTATCTGCTTCTGATTTCTCAACCTAAGTATGTGCATAATATTAGTATCTCCCTCATAAGATGGTTGTGTGGATTAAATGAGATAATGCATGAAAAGTGCTTAGCACAGTGCCCGGTATAATGTACTTGCTGCTCAAATGTTGCTGTAACTATTGGCTAGGATTTGAACCTACATATGTCTGTTTCAAAGTTGCACCTATGTGGTCTGTGAGCCTCAAGGGAATTCCCACAGAATTGCTTTGTTCTGTTCTCCGGCCCAGTAGCTTTGGAATTTTTATACACAGTCCACAAGCAAATGAACTGAGGTTATGAACCCGGTCTCTATCATCACTGAGCAGTGAGGCCACTGCCAGTCGCTACATGAGCTTGAGCAATTGACTGAACATCCAAACAAAGCCTCGGAAGTCAAGGTCTCCAGGCAGGTTCTGTTACCAGAGGACAGTCTGTTCATTTCCCCGAAGAGCCAGTGTGGCCTCCCACTCAGACAGCTGACTTCACCCATGCTCCCAAACTGGACTCAGGCAACTGGGGCTTGTCGCTCACTCAGTCAGCATGCTTATTGGGCATTTATTATGCTTAGACCCTGAGCTCTTCAAGGTGTTTGACATTTATGCACCATAACAGTCCCTCCTAGATGGAAAATCAGAAGGACACTGAGTTCTTAAATGGGGAAAACCTCAAGATTTTTCTTGAAACCAAGCTTGAGGAAATTTGAAAGGGTAAGAAACTATAAAGGAAAATCAAGTACGTGTTATCCATTGTTACTAACTCATGGCATATAAAATCATCAATGATTTTCTCTTAAAAGTACAAAATATACTTTTTTACATGGGACAAAGCTCCCTTGAGCAAATTACAAAGAGAACATTTCTGGCAATATAATTGATGTACTAGTGTGAACAATGCCTCAACTTGATAACCTTTGAAGAATGCCCATTATTCTTAATCACAGTTTATTGATAGGTATGCATGAATTACAATCTTCCTTTGAGGATCCATGGATACTTTCATCTCTAATTTTCTAAGTGCTTTATAACTGGTAATTAATTCCTCAACATCCTAGGGACAAATTTAAAGGTAACTTTCTGCAAAACTTGCACTAATGCTCAGAATACCTTACTGGGAAGTTTTAGGGCCAGATCATTGCTTTGTTGCCTGAAGTCTTGGATTGAGGAGCAAGCAGTTCCCAAATTGTATCCAGAAGGAACCCCATGGAGGAAACTTCTTCATATGCTGTTAAAGGAAGAAATTCAGAGTTTGAGAGAGGCCATAAGTGCTGGTAGCATTTACATCTGGCACGAGCTATTAGGTAAACCAGACTAAAATGCCCAATATCAGCTTTCATAATAGGAGCGAGGTGCTTTTTCCAGTGACCCAAGGTGTAGACTGAGAGCTGGCATGGTGGGGTGGGGGGAGAGCCCTGGCATAAGAGTCTAGGAACTGGGCTGCCATTTCTGGTTCTTCCATTATTTGGCTGTGTGACCTTCAGTGACCTTCACTTCATCTCTTCTCTGAGCCTTTATTTCTTCATTCACAAAATTAGTTTGGATTAGTTGTATGTTACAAATGAGCGACCCACATGACAACATTAGCTAGTAGTTGTGGATTTTTTGGCCCACATGGTGTTTTTTGAAAAGGCATATGCTTTCTGGTTTGCTGTAGTTCCTATCATTTCTTATTATCTTATATCCAGTCTTCACTCATTTATGCCACTTTCCTGGCTCCTGTAGACATCTGAGCTAGTAATTCCTGGGCTAGATAATCTCTGATGCTGCTTTCAACTCTGTTACCCAGAGAGTTGAGGTAGGTCCTAGGAGGTTATTGAACCTCAGCAGTCAGACACGAGAGGAATTACAGGACTGTGAAGTTCTAGAGTTCTTTTTTTATATTTTCCAGACTCTTCCAACTGAGAGCTGATGATGTAATCTCCCAGGCCTCTTCCTATAATCCTGCTGAAGCAGAGGTCTCCATTACAGTCACAAAATGTATGAGGCTATATTTCTCTCAGTCCATACTAAGTGATATCACACAGATTACGTCCCCGATTTATTCTCTGATTCTCTCTCCTTAACTCTTGGAGGCCAGCTAAGAAATATCACCTACAGGACAAAGACTCTCTTACCAGGAGCAAGACTTGATCAGTGGTGGGGGAGAGGTGGGAGAGAAAAGGCAAATGCAATGGGAGAGTCCTCCCTGTCGCCCAAACACAAATTAGAAAGGGATCTTCAAGGCAGACTCATTACTTCTAGGACTATCTTCTGTAGGTTTCCAAACTTCTTGACTCTTCAGAGCAGCTCTCGCCTTCAACGAGCGCTTCCTAGTTGAGCCAGTTTCACTTAGTGATCTGGCAGGGCTCCGATTCTGCAGGGGAATTTGTTCATGTTGATCCGAGGGCACACAGCTGCCGTGGGCCTCTGGGGGACAGGCTTTCCGTACAAAGCAACCCTGTGTTGTAGGAACTTCCTCACACATGTCCACACACAGGCGTTCTGTCATTAACACGGTCTCCCTCAGCCCGTGGAATGCACAGAGGGTGGGGAAAACGGCTCCTTTCTTAAAGGCTTTCTTTTTATAAGTGTCGGCTCCCTGACAACTGGAATTTTCTTTTGTAGCTGAAAAAAACATATTTCTCTTAAACACCACCCAGGCAGTTGTGTGTCCTCAAGGATCTGTTGGCCAAACATAAGTGAGGCAAGAGCAGAAGAGAACCTAACGACAGATCAATTTGCCTACTTGTAGAATTTGTCTGACTATAAAGCTTAAGAAGCTGATTCCATGCGCTATATAATTATTGTGGTTTAGCAATTAACTCTCCTCTCTTAAATAGTTAATTTCCCCCCCAATAATAAAAGTCAATCATATCCACTGTGGGGGAAAAAAGGGAGTAAATAACAGTCATTCTGTAGACTTACCACACAAAGATTTCATTTTAGCACATTTTCTGGAGACTTTTTTCTATGCATAGAAATATCATTTAGAATGTAGTTGAGATCATGTGAGTCTCATCTCTTAAAGTCACACTTTCCTTTTCAGGGCATTATGAAATCTCTCTGAGGGGGAATAAAAGCCTTTTGTAAGTTAATTTATTTGTAATAAAATTTTCAATGGTTTAGGGGAGGTGGCCACATTTGTCCAGGACAACAAAGTTTTAGCCACTGAAAGAGCATATCATTATTTTATTTTTAGATGGTTTTGCTCCATTTTCCAGGCTGGAGTGCAGCAGCAGCATCATAGCTCACTGCAACCTCAAACTCCTGGGCTCAAGCGATTCTCCCACTTCAGCATCCCGTGTAGCTGGGACTACTGGCGTCCCAGTAGTCCCAGTCCACCACCATGCCCAGCTAATTTTTTCTATTTTGTTTTTTGTAGAGATAGGATCTCGCTATATTGCTCAGACTGGTCTCAAACTCCTGGCCTCAAGCAATTCTCCCACCTTGGCCTTCCAAAGTGCTGGAATTACAGACTAAGCCACCACTCCCAGCCTCAGAAAGCATATTCAATACATCCTAAAAAATGTCATGGGTTATAGTTTTACTGTACTTAAGCCATGCAACCCAAATCTCAAATTCTTGCCCACATACATCTTAGGTATTACTTCTTGTCATCTGTTCAGATTCACTATTAATAAAAACATTTAGGAAAATAACTATATTTCTATTCCTATTATTATTATCTCCTAGAAAATCTCTCACATTTGACTTGGAACCACTAAATTTTAAAGTAACCTTGGGAGAAGTCCCAACATGCCCCCACATTTTGCCTTGGGACTTTAAACAAGTGGTCTTTAGTGGGAGGAGTACACACAGGGAAGGAAAAGGTAATAAGTGTTTTCAGTGTTAAAAATAAATGAAAAAAGGGGCCGGGCGCTGTGGCTCACGCCTGTAATCCTAGCTCTTGGGAGGCCGAGGCGGGCAGATTGCTCAAGGTCAGGAGTTCAAAACCAGCCTGAGCAAGAGCGAGACCCCGTCTCTACTATAAATAGAAAGAAATTAATTGGCCAACTGATATATCTATAAAAAATTAGCTGGGCATGGTGGCGCATGCCTGTAGTCCTGGCTACTTGGGAGGCTGAGGCAGGAGGATCACTCGAGCCCAGGAGTTTGAGGTTGCTGTGAGCTAGGCTGACGCCACGGCACTCACTCTAGCCTGGACAACAAAGCGAGACTCTGATAAATAAATAAATAAATAAATAAATAAATAAATAAATAAATAAATGAAAAAGAAGTTCATGCTAAATGACCATATGTTCAGCCTCAAGCTTTAAACAGACTGGGTAGCACCATCTAGAAAATATAAGGTCTAGCAAGAGAGGTAGCACCCTGTAAACATATTTTCCTTGCTGTATTCCATCTTCTAGGTGAAGAGACTCCAAGATGAGCCCTAGTTGGGGAATTCTATAAGACAGAGGGGCAGCTATACTAGGGATACCAGTTCTTGCTCTGTTCCAGCCTGGCCAATTTCAAATTCATGGCGTAGAGATCCCTGATGCTGTCAAACAAGGCAGCTCTTGAGGGTGCACATGTGTTCTGGGCTCTTTGTCCCTGATTAGAACATGCATCAGAACCACCTGTGATTGCCCTTCCATGGATAGTTACAGAGATGAGCATCATTGACCCCCTCAGCACTTAGTGCAACAAAGGAGGCAAGGAAAATGAAATGCAAAGCTGCTTTATCAGGAAAGAAGCAGAGTGCAATTATGCGAACTTTCCCAAACAGCCAGGACAAATGACAGCTTTCACAATGCTTAGCACCTAATTTGCTCAGGCTTTGAAAAGCAAGTGCTTTGTCTGAAACTGGGCATTTACTAAGTGGACATAGTGCCCTGGGGCATGAATGCTTAAGAGCTTTGCTGAAATACAGATAACAGTTATTTTGATTTACTGGGTCCAATTGACATTAAGGCCCCAATTTTTGTTAACCAGAATTCAACTATTTTTAACTCTCTATTAACTAAAACTCTAGTCACTTGCTGATTTTAGACCAGGGGCACATGATAAGAAAACAAAAGTTGCAAATTAAAATATTACATGTACCCTGAGGTTAGTACACACACCACTCTGACTGATCTCCTTACCTTTATTGGTGGCAGTATACAATGGGAATGTCCCTTCATTTATTTTAAGCAACTTGAGTACAGAAACTGAGTACTTTCCTTCTCTTATCTTCTCAGGAACCAAGAATAAACCCTTGTTGATCAAACATGACAGCTTGGGTTTGTCACCTGTTTCACAATTTAGAAAGGAAATCTCTTAACTTACCCAGTGGCCATTAAAATGCATCTCTCAGATCTCAGAGTGCTGGAGCTTAACTAACCTCTCGCCTCAGCTGCTGTGCTCTAAAATGCACCCATCTCAGTGAGGCCACATGCCCCACAGCCTGCTCTAAGCCCACGACTCAGTTAGGCAGAGACGCTAAGGTAGACCTGCTCCTGGGGGGCTGAGGATTCCCTACTGGCCTTGCTGACATTTTCTTAGAACTACAAAGTGTTGTAAGAGTTTCTTCCTACCCAATCTTCCATGCTTTCCTCTCTCCTCCACAGGGCTCAGACCTGCATCTTGGTTTGATGACTTTCCAGCCTCTTCCAGCTTCCTTCTCTTTCCCTCCTGGGTGCTCTTCTTGATAATTCTCTTGCATATCTGATGGTCTTGGGAGACCTGACCTAACGCTTTCTATTTGACAGCTGCCGTCTCAAGTAGATAAGACGGATCCTCATTATACAAAGTGGGAAATGAATTTTGAGAGGGAAATGAATTGTCCATATCACAGAGTTTTTCCCTTCAGCCTATAAGCAGGCTTAAGTCATCTGCACTCTTAAAATTAATATATTTGATTCCACAGTCTCAGTCCTTATCTCACCAGGCTTCTCACATGCATTCGGTGGGTTGACCACACAATGCTCTGTCCTGAACTTCTGTGAACCACTTTATTGGAAACCCTGTCCTCGCCCAGTCCTTACATGCTGACACCACGCAGGGCTTCTACCTTGCCTCGCCTTTCCTTCTTTCCATCCGTCTATGTCCATAGCTGACTTCAGCTATCAACCATGCACTGACCACTCCCTACCCTCTGCCACACCTTCTGTTGGGTTGAAGGAATGAAAGGAGAAAACAAGACTGAAATCCAGATTTGGCTAGGAGACCTTTCCCTTTCTCATGTGGTCATTTGATTGGTTACAATGACCCTTACTCAGTACAAGATGTCCAGATATGAGAGAAATAAAAGTGCTTTTCACCACATAACGTATTACAAGGCAGGAGGGGAGGCTGACACTTTTTAATAAGATTCACCAGGTGATGAAATAAAAGATTTTCTAGTAAGTTATTAATTTTCAAAAATATATATTGAAACTTTACTCTGTATCTGCTGTTCTAGGTGCAGGAAATAGTGTAATGAGGAAGACAGGTAAGATCCGTAGTATCTCATGGAACTTCTACTCCAGGGAGAAAAACAAATGTATATTTAAGATTTTAGAAAGTGATAAGTGCTATGAAGGAAATAGAAAAGGTATATGTAATATTAATAGAAAATGGTGGAAGTCAGATGAGGATTCATTAAATAAGATGTCAGGGGAGGCCTTGCTGAGGAGTATGATTTGAGCTGGGACCTAAATGATGAGAAGTCAAGTATGCAAATATCTGGAAAGAGAACACTCCAGGGGGGTGGGGAGGGGCAGCAAGTGCAAAGGCCCTGAGGTTGAAACAGCTTGACATTTTAGATTAACAGGAAGTGACCAATGTGACTGAAACATGATAGAAGGGGAGAGTAATGTAAGATATAGTCAGAAAGGTAGAAATATCGTGGGAGTCTTAGAGGCCTATGTAAGAGTTTCAGATTTTATTCTCAGCCACTAGTAGGGTTTAGAATCTGATCTATGTTTGTTTGCTTGTTTGTCACTCTGGCTGCTATTTGGAACAGGAGTGAGGGTGGGAACAGGAAGGTCAGCTACAAGGCTCTGAAGGTTGGTAGTGGCCTGGGCTGGGTGGGAGCTGTGGAGATAGAAAGAATAGACAGCATTAGGATTACATGGTGGGGCTGAGATGATCCAGTATTTTGTGTATGTGGAAATGAGAAAAAGAGAAAAAATAGGTCTGCCCCCTGCATTCCTGGCTTGAGAGACCAGGTGGATGTTGAAGCCATTTGCTGAAATTGGGGAAACTAGGTAAGAACAGTTTTGAGAGGAAACTTGAGAGTTTCATTTCAGACATGCCAAATTTGTGGCGTCTATTAGATATCCCACAGTAGGTGTTGCGTATGATTAGATGTCATCCATGGGATTGGGGTTCAGGAGAAATGTCAGGGCTGGAGATGCACACCTGTCAGTGGTTTTAAAACCACAGGGCTGGATGAGATCACCTTGAGCCAAGAAGAAAGCCCATCACTTAGAGATAAAGCACAGGAGGATTGGAAAGGAGACAGAAGGAGTGGCCACTGACATTGGAGCAGTATTTGGAGTGGTCACAAAATGCCAAGCGCTCCGGAAGTGTTTCAGAAAGACAATAATGGCTTAACTGTGTCAAATGTTGCTTGAGAGGTTGAGTAAGCTGAGGCCAGAGAAGGGACCTTAGGTTTTGGCAACAGAGAGGTTGGAAGTTTTAGCAGTTAAGTGTTTTCAGGTGTAGTCAAAAGAAAATGATTCCAGCTGATTTAGATAGAAAAAAAGTTTACTGTTTAAACCTTGGTTGGTTTTACAGAATTGGGATAAGAACTGTTATACCTGGCTACCAAATTACCCTGACACGAACAGCACCCCTAATCTCATCGCTTAGCAGGTGTGGTGAGGATACCACCTCCGCCACTCGATAGAGTGTCTGCTATGAATCTCGAGAGCAGTGTTCTCAACCTTGGCTGCCCTGTGGAGTTAGCAGGAGGATTGTAAAAATAAATACTAAAGCTCAATCCCTATCCCTAGAGATTAATTAGATTCATTAGTCCTCATGATACATCCTCATTAAGGTTGGTTTAGACCTTTTTAGAAAGAAGTTTATATTTAGAATGGGTCAATTTGGTATAAATATTAATAATGATATGATCAGAGGTGCCCAATTCTGAGAAATGTCTTCCACCATCTCCCTCATAAAAAGTTCATGTTCCTTAGTGCTGCAGGGATCACACTCACTTCTACCTATGTTTCCTAATTTGCCCAGCTGCCCGTCATGCGGTGGAGCTGCCCATTGATTTGGAGCTTCATCAAACCAGCAGTCTCTTTCCTCAGAGCAGGTGGTGCTGACTTTCCATTATTCTGATGCTAAAGGAAGCTTGGGGTAATCCCTTTTCTCTGGGCTGTGGATTCCAGAATTGTTCCATGTAAAGAATGAGAACATCTAAAAATATTCCTTTGTCATCTTTTTGGGGAAGGTTTTCAGAGCATAGTGCTGTAAAGATGAAGCAGGGAGCATCACACTATCTGCGCAACATAACTGGGCTTTCCAGGAGACACTGTTGTGGCTAAAGAGACAGAGAAGGGAAGTCACCATTGCAGAGCTGTTCCCTGAAGAAGAGTGTGCCTAAAAACTCTTCTCACAGTAAGGAGGGGGGAAGGGCAAGGCCCTTCATCAGCTCCTTGGACGCTTCTCCCATTCCTCAGAGTGGGGGCCACTGCTGTTCCTCCCCTGTCATCTGAGTTGCCAAATCTGATTGAGGCAGAAAGCCCGTGCGCCTGGCTCTTGAGGATTGCCTGATGCTCGACTGGCTCCTTGGTGTCCACTGTGGCTGGCATGGGATGGAACCTGGGCCTCACCTGCCTCAGGGGTTGGGCTTGTGCCAAGTCCCAGCAGCCCCTGCTTCCCTGCCCCCTATTGCTAAGAGCAGAGCATCATGCTGTGTGTCTCCCTCAACCCCTAGATATACTAATCCCACTTCCTTTTGGATATACGGATCCAAATTTCTTTTTCCCAATGACTTATTTATTTAGATATTGATTTATTTATAAAATTGAAAATATATTTTGCTTGTCTTTTCTTATCACTAAAATAAGATCTGTTCATTGTAGAAAATTTGGAAAACAAAGATATGTACTGGGAGGATAAAAAATAAAGAAAAAGAGAAAAACCACCCACTTACCAGGGATAACAACTGTTAATACTTAATATTTTATCCTTTCAGCCTTTATGTACACATATTTGTGTGCAAGTATATGAAGTGTAGTATAATGTTATTTTGTAACCTATATTTTATACTTAATATAAAGTGGTCATCGTTCCATGTTTTTAAATATTCATTCCTTCAGAACAGCGCTTTTTGGCACTGCCAGATGGCTGCGTCACAGTGACCCCAACTCCAACGTGGACTGCTCTAATCTTGAGGTGTAGGGAGGACTATTGAGCTTTCTGCTAAGGTGGGGTGCCCAGGCCCCTCCAGACATTCAAAGAAGTTTTCACAGATAGACACAAAGTGAACCACGGACCTAGGAGATGCATGTGCTTCTTATGAGAACCTCCACGCAGCAGAAAATAAAGCAAGAACAGCAGAGGACCACCCAGAGGCTCACCTCGCAAGGCCAGCACATGTGATGGGCAAGTCCCAGGGCTGAGATGACGGCATAAAGGATTTCTCGTTGCCGTGGAGTTGTCCCGCTCAGTGAGGTAGAGCGCCACTTTCACTCAGGTCACGCCGTGGGACCAGCACAACTCTGTGGGGGTTGTGCCATTTCCCTGTCTCTTCCTCTGCCCCAGTGGGGGTTGGGTAGAAGGGGCCCCACTGCCTTCTTGGAAAGCAAATGCTCAGAAAGATGACAACATCTTTAGTAAGAAAAGACAACTGTTGAGTCAGAAAGAAGATGCAAGGCAAGCCCCACAACAGGGCTAGAAGCCCCAGAGCCTGTGGTTGGAGACATTGCATCTTTAGCTTTTGGATTTCTAGGACATTTAAAGCCTGTCACAATCTTGACTGCCTCTTGAGGCACACCAGACAATTCTGCCTCTCCATAGCAACGGGCTTCCTGCTGGGAGGTAAACCCGGCATCTCTGCTCTGGTTTCTGTTCAGTGCTTAACACATGTGCTCTATGACTGAGGGCCTGAGAAATGTGCCTTTGCCATCCTTTCTAGCCCATATGGAGGAAGGTCGTCGATGAATGCAGATGTCAAGATGGAGCAGAGTATTTCAGCATCTACATAACAAATTTTGTCTGAGCAGAAGGTGTCTTTCCCAACTTTGGAATCAAGCCAGGCCAGCAATTGTAACTGGGGACCTCCAAGGTTCTAGCGAGTGTTTCCTTGAGAGTTGTTTCTGCTTTATTCTTACTTTTCTTCCCAAGAGAAACTGCTAGGGCTTGGCTTTCCATTATCTGTTCAAGGTGAAGGTTAGCAACAAAATATGAAATTTCTTTCTCCTGTGTTGTTACTTAAGCCACACATACTGTGGGAACAACTATCTGTTTCTACTGACATTGTCATCTTTGATAACTTTTTATTGTAAACTGTGCCTTCTAACTGGCCTGGTTTTCAGAGGAGATACAATGGGCAATACTCTGGTAGAACAACAACAATAATATCATTGTTTTTGATAGGAATTTTTAGAAAAACAAGGGATGGAAAATTAGTTTTTTAATGTGAATCCAACGTAACTGAGTCCATAACTGGGGATTCAGTATCTTATGTGATCCAATTCATTCATTCATTTATTCAATAACTACACCTTAAGCTTTGCCACTGTGCTCAGTGCTGTAGAAGATGCAAAGATGAAAAGAGACACAGCTCTGTCTCCTATCACCTAGTAGGGAAGGAGAGAAACCATGTTTATAAGTAAACATGTAAGATAATTTAGTAAGAGCCATAAGAGAAGTAAAGACAAATTCTATGAGAGTGTAAGGGGTGGGATTTTGTAGCTAGAAGGATCAAGGAAGACTCATAGAGGAGTCTTTGGGCTGGGGATGAGTGGGGGGCAATTCCAGACAGAGAGGGAACAGCATCAGCAAAGGCACAGAGGGAGAAAGTTTGAATCTGCAGTGAACAGTGAGTAGTTTCGTATGACTTGGGTATAGAGTGCATAAAGGGAAGAGTGAGTAAAAAATAAGATTAAGAATAAAAGTTGGATATGTATTTTGGAGGATCTTGAATATTTAGCTAAGGAGTTAAGATTTTATTTCAACTGCTGTGTGACAACGTCAGAGCAGAGAGTTGACATGGCATCAGAGGGTCACATGGACTGGAAGAAGTGGGATGGTAAGTGGGGAGCAGTGCAGGTGGGAGGAATCAACGGGGCCTGAACTAGGACACTGGTGGGCAATCCAGGAGGCAGAAGCAGAATTTGCAGAGCTTAGAGACTAATTGGATATAGAGGTGGAGCCAAGGATTTATGCCAGTGACATTCTCTTGGTCAGTGGTTCTCAAGGTTTAGTGCATCAGAATCACTTGGAGGGCTTGTTAAAATACAGTTAATGGGCTCCACTCTCAGAATCTCTGATTCAGGTCTGGGGTGGGCCCAAGAAGTTGAGTTCCACCAAGTTTCCAGGAGATGATGATGTTGCTGGTCTGAGGACCACACTTTGAGGACTGCTGCTCTAGATGCTCCAGTTCACCTTTCTGACCATACAGAAGCAATTGCGAAGGGACAAGAAAGGCAGGGGAAACAAAAGTACAATCAAAACAAGTGAACTGGTGGAGACTTTTCTTGTCATTTGAACCTATAGCATCCCAGATGCCTGGGCAAAAGGGCTCAGTTAGAGATATTTACTGTGTGCAAAGACATTTGTATTAACCTACAAGTCAGAGCACAGAAGGACACTAATTAGGGTTTTTTTTTTTCCCTATGAATATTGTAGGTCTTAGTCTTAGGGGAGGTTATGATATAACATTGGAACCAACAGCCCAGGGTTCATCCTGGCTCTGCCCCTTGGGTCAATGCCTTAACTTCTTGAATTCTCTGTTATTCTATATTAAAACTGGGATAACAATGCCTAGTGAACAGTGTTGTAAGAAATAAATGTGGAATCCCACAGAAAACACTAGGCACTGCCCTTGGCACACTGTGGGGCTCAGTGAAGGCTCCAACCCTTCCTGTGGGCACAGCCTCTGCGGAAAGCTGTGGAAGCACCAGATGGTCAAACGGCCCCTCACGGATGCCTGAGGGCCCACGGATACCCAGTCAAGCCTTTGGATCAAGCATTGCTCCTTTCTAGCTTTCTTTACAAATGCCAGTGTGCTAAAACTCTAAAGAATATGGGAAAATTCATTTATCCAGCATTTCCTGCTTTCTGGGAGAGCTTTGGGAAGAGATGGGATGCTGACCCAGAGGGAGGAGTCATGGGAACAAAGGACAGTTTTTTCTCCTGTGGAATTTTGTTCTGGCCAGGTGGGCCTTGACCAGAGCAGTCCTCCTTGTGGGCCTCCAGGTTTTGAATCTGGAGATGACACTTGTGTGAACCATAGAGGATTTTCAGAGTAGCTCTTGGGCCCCAGTAAAGAAATGAGCTGGTGAGCATTTTTTCTTTAACCAGATAAATCTGGTGTCATAATATCCCCAGACAGGAAAGCAGAAGGCAGACTTGGCAGTAAATCACAGAGGGAGGAACGTCTCCGACTGAGCCCGTGTCATGGGAACTTGACTTGTCCCCTTATTCTGGAGAAAGGGTTTGGGAAACAGGCAGCCCCTTCAGTTCAACCAGATGGAGTGGAGAAGTCAGGGGAGGTTGGATGAGAGAGAGCCCCCACACAAGTGAATCTCCTGTTCTGGGGTGATCAAACCAAGTATACAGGTCATAGGTTAGTGGGAAGGTCAGGACCCTACTCAGCCATTTAGTGGGGAGGTGGGGAGAAGGAGGGAGGGGCCCTTTCTTCCACAGTCTGCACCCAACCTTGCCAATGCATGATTCTATGACAGGAGCTAACAAGCCAACATTACCATGTCTCTGCTTCATGAAGATGAGCAATGAGGAGAAGCATCAATAATTCAGGTCCAGCAGATAGCTGGCTGTGAATTGGCATTCTTCACTTGGTTAAAGTTTATTTACTTTCCCCTCAATTAGATCCAGTACAGATAGATACAAAGGAATACTATAATATAAATGCCTTTACAAAGGAGTAAATATAAATGCCTTTACAAAGGAGTATTTAATGACAAGAAAATGAAATGCAGGTTATAAAAACTGTATAGCCCCATTTAAAAAAAAAGAAGAATGAAAAAAGTTTGTAAGATATCTCAGAGGTTAACTTTACTGGTGGAATTACAGAAAATTTCATCTTCCTTTTCTTATCTGAGTTTTTGAAATTATTTATAAATAAGCATGTATTACCTATGAAGTGAGAAAAGAGTGAGAAAAGACAAAATTATTTAAATAAATATGTTCACAATAGGATATGATACTATTTTTTTCTAAATATGAATATATACTATATGCAGTTTTGTGACCTGAATTTAAGCATTTTTCATGTTATTAATAACCTCAGAATTATTATATTTAACAGCTGCATAGTATGTCATCATTTAAATATACCATAATTTATTTGTCTCAATCCCCAATTGTTGGCTATTTGTAGTGTCTCCAATTTTTATTATTATAAATAATGCTTCAATCAATATCATTTTAGCTCATTAAATTTTCCCATAGATTTTAAAAAATATTTTAGCCACCTACATATTTTATCTTACCTGCAATTGCCTTGGCAGGATTGCATTTCCATATATTCACACACTTGCATAAACATCTTTCTCTTTTTCACTGTATAGTAATAAACTCTCAGCCTGCTTTTCTATTGGGTCCCTCTCTCACACTGAGATTTTCTTGTAGGGTTGTTAGTCAATCACAGACATGAGCCATAGAGATCATCTGATGCTATGGCCATCTACAGGGAGGAAGCCCAAGCCCAGAGGTGAAATGACTGACCGGAGGGCACTCAGTAACTAGTGACCGAGCTGGAATGGCAACTCCAAGAATATTTTCCAACGGCCAACAACTTTAAAGGAGGATCACTAAATGCTAAACAACGTTAATGTTTAAAGGAAACACTAAACAATGATGGAGCAGAAGATAAAATGAAAAGAATTTAGTGGTAAGAGGGGGGAGGAGTAGAAAGATGGATAGGAGATAGGAGGGGGAGGGTTGCTGAGGGGGGAGAGGGAGGGACCTGAGAGCAATGTAAAAGGACGACAATATAAAAGGTAACAAAAAGTAAAGGAGAAAGGTTAACATACTATGACCCTTTATAACAGGGTTTCCCAGGCTTGGCTGTGTTGGTGTTTTAGGCCAAATGATCTTTGCTGTGGGAGGCTGTTCTGTGCATTACCAGATGCTTAGCAGCATCCTTTGCTTCTACCCCCCGAGATGCCACTACCATCTTCCTGCTCCTCTACCCCAGATGTGACAAGGTAAAATGTCTCTAGACATTGCCAAATGTCCCCTAGGGGCACAAAATCGCCCGGACTGAGAACCTCTGCTCTATGGTATTGTTTTCTAATGATACTACTGGGGAAATATTTCGCCCATTCCTTGAATTTCCATATATTCACACACGTACATAAACATCTCCCTCTTTCTCACTATGTACCAATAAGCTGTGAATGTGTGTGTGTTTTGTTTTAATAGGGTCCTCCTCTCACACTGGGATTTTCTTATAGGACTCTTAGTCATTCAAATCGTCCAGACAGTTGCCAGTCACAGATTTGAGCTGTGGAGACCATCCAGGGCTGTCCATCTACAGGGAGGAGGCCCAGGATACTGGAAAGGAACCTAAAACGTCTCCTGAAAGAGGAAACCAGAAGCAGATCATGTGAGTGCAGTTCATATAGATTATCATCTCAAAACACCATGGTTGTGCTAAAAGGCCGAGAGGGAAAATGATCAAATAAAGCCCATATTTCAGATGAAGAAAATGAGACAGAAAATACACGATTTGCTTCCGGCACTAAGATGAGTCAAAGAGAAACCAGTGAGAGAGACATGAACTTAGGCTCTGACCTTTAGAAAGAAGAAAAACAATTTTATCATCACCCTTCCCCCACTTCAATCCTGGATCTTTGTGAGAACAAGGAAGGAAATTGTTATTCCCCCTAGAAGCAGAGGAAACATCAGCAACTGGAAGTAACTGTTTAAAAATGTTGCTTTTTGGTGAAGGACAAAAGCACAAGGTGGGAAGAGCCCAACTCTGAAACACGGCAGCACCTCTCACACATTCTCTCCTCTAACCCCCCCTCAGCCCCGCGAGCCGGATCATCACCCCCATTTGTCAGATGAGGACCTGAGGGTCAGAGGTTAGACGGCTTGCCAAGGACATACAGCTAAGTGAGGAGGCCGGAATTTCAAACCGGACCTGCCTGATTCTCAAGGCAGGACGGTGACCTCTTGGCAGCCCTGCCTCTATGCCATCGGCAAAGCCTGCTTCCGTAAGAGTGCCACTCTGTCTCATTTCCGGTGTTTCCTAACAAGCCCCTCAGTGTGCCTCATCATGGATACAGGTGGGAGAACTGGTCTTGGGCTGTGACAGAGGCATCCGACCTGGAGTCTCCCTGGGGGATCCCCTAAGTCCTAACAGTGCTGGAACATGAACAGGATCTTTCTGTGGAGCCGGTCAGTACCTCACAAAGTGCTGTCAAGGTCCTGGTCCTGGTCCTGGTCCTGGTCCTGGTCCTGGTCCTGGTCCTGGGCGTGCACCTACCTCGGCCCTCCCCTGGGCCTCTCATGGAACACAGAGTCTGGCAGTCCCGGCACAGGTGGACGGCCACGGTTCGGACACGATATTTTGGTTTTATTCTTTCACAAACACAACTGGGCAAGGCATCACTGTCAGACTTAAAAAGAAAAATTTAAGAACTTTTTTAGTATTACAATGTTGAATTTAAAAATACTTCTTATGGTGTTGTATCTAAAAAGCCAATTTATTTTCACCAAAGGGAGGCCCTCTGGAGGCAAGAGCCGTTTTTTAAACTCTTCCCCCTGTACAAAAATATTTTGGGAGTTATATGGATATGCAGTACAGATACTACTTGCCTTCCCTCAGTCTAGGATGAGAATTAGCTCTAATAATAATAATATCAAATAGTGTAATCTGCTTGCTCTGAACTATGTGCTCTTACACATGAACCATGTACTTTTACACTTTTATACGTGAGGAAATTGAGGCCCAGAGAAGTGAAGTGACCAATCAAAGGCCACACAACTAAGTGTAAAACTTTAAAAAATAAGGGGTGGAAATCTTTTAATCTGATGAAAAAGGATGTCTGCTTTCAATATCAACGGCGTATGAGCAGTTGTGAGAGTGCAGACTTGCTTCCTTTCACAAATATTTACTGAAACCGTACTGAGAGCCATTCTCAGGAAGATGGTACCTTGGTCAAGGCAAGCTCCTAGTCTGTGGTTTCAGCACTGGAAAGAGGCACGTAGTGCTACAAGAAAATCTTTGCAATATTAAAAAAAGCCACTCTAATGCCTCCAGGTGGCAATGCCCCTCCCATCTCCCTTCCCTTCACAAGAGACGGCAGAGAGGCCAACACCTGTTTTCTGTTCTTCTCATCACACCACCCGCAGCTTCCCCTGCCCACTCTGTGAAACTGCCTCCTACAGTGAACAGTGTCCCCCTGAAGGCTGGGCCTAATGGTCACAGGGAGTCCTTATCTTACTCACCTTCTGTGTGGTACCTGACAATTTCCCAACTTCCCTTTCCTGGAAACTCCCTTTCCTTAAAAAACTCTGTCGATTTCCAAAGACTTCCTGAGGCCACTGTTTTTCCCATTCTCCTCCCACTCATCCAATGCTCCTTTTCAGGCTCTTTCATTATAATTAATTTCAAAACTTGAAACTTAAAATGTTCTTTGTTCACAATTAACTCACATGGTTCTGATGAACTAAATCAGCATCATGCCCAGTGTGGGGATGGGAAAACTGAGAGAGGACAACCCACTGCAGGGCTTGAGTTTGCCCAGTGATGCAGTGAGAAGCCTGAATCCCAGCTCTGCACAGCGATGAGCTTGGCTGTGTCTCTTCTGGACATTTACTGTCAACCCTCAATTCAGGAGCTCATGGTTTGCTATGGGCTGATTTAGGAAAGACAAGACCCCACGGATGTGGCAAGACTGCAGGTTTGTTCAAGAGGGCGGGACTTAAAGGCCTGGGTCTGTGAACACCTCCTATTTTGTTGGGTGTTACTATTAAGTGTGTGTTTTTCTAACATTAGGGCAGGGCCCTATCTTCCGCTGGCCATGAAGGATTACAGGTTTTCCCTCCTGGTGACAGATTGCTCAGCTACATCCCAGAAGACATAAAACTCCTTCCAGTCATGCTAGAATTAGGTCCATAGATTTCCAGTTATAGAAAAGCCATTCTGGGTAACGTAGCAGATGTAAATTATGTGCCTGAATTGATTTTGCATTAATTTCTCATAGGCTATTTCAATGCTGCTTAAATACCACTTTTTAAAGCCACTATGGTGTTGTATTTTAAAAGCTGATTTGTTTGCACTTCAGAGAGGGCTCCGGGAGGCAAGAGCTGTTTTTTAATCCCATCTCCTTGTGCAAAAAGTACTTTCACCAGTGAGGAATTTCTGGTAACGAGCTGTCTGTTTGTACAACTCCCAAGTGCATGTTATCATACTGTGCCTGTAGTCTTCCTTTTGTAAGATGCATCATGGGACACAAGCTTCAGCTTTCATACTGCCTTGAAGGACCAGCCCTGTCACCCATTGGAACTGAGCCCAGGGGCTCAGATAATGGCACTGTGTATCCTTGTGGCACAGTGGGGCCCACATGACTTGTCTTGTGGACTCTTGGCTTTCCTACTTGATCCAAATGCTTTTAGAAACTATCAGATGAAGGGCAAAAAGACAATCCATAAACCCATCTTATTATTTTTGTGTGTGTGGTGGAAGAATAGGGCTGGGCTCACATTGAAGTCCTGAACATGATACAGAAGTTCTTACTATAACTTTTGATGCATGAACCTTCTTATACATAAAGTTGCACAATGCACAGCCAAGTAACAGCACATCAACCGTTTCTACCACCAACAGATGGCATGGACAGGCAGGGGTCCTTTAGTTGCATTTTTTTCACTGATGTGGCCAGTGTTTGCTATGTTTGGGTTTATATTCAAGACGTTTAACAAATGATTTGACAAATCACCTCCCTCATCTCCATTTAAGTACTAAAGCACTGAGAGTGTTGAAAATGCAGTCCAAAAGAAGTGCAAATTCTGAAGGAAACTAAAGTTTTCATAAAAGTGGAAAGAAATGGATGATGAATGTGGCTCGACAGGATGAAGAGGAAACCATACATGTAATGTGAAATTAATTTAAAAAATTGTATGTATGGCTAGAAGACTGGAATTGCGGTGTGTTGTCTGTTATCCTGAAGTTAATGCAGGAGTAGGCTCTGGGTTTAAAGAAAATTGGACCGAAAACTCTCTTTACGGACATAACCTCTTGGGGAAAGGTAGTTTTGTACCAAGCTGCAATGTTTACCAGGGGGCTGCTCATGTTTAGATTCTAGCACCACCTAGAGGAGAGAATGAGATAATTTCCATTCACTGCTGAGTCTAGGGAATCTCAACCATTTTTCAATTTTCAAAGCACTTTAATTTTAATATCTGATTGGATATTCAGGTAATTGTCTTTGAGGTGGGAATTTCCATTGTCATTTTACTGATGAAGAAATTCATATCTAAGTAGGTTATTGTGCAAAGAATTTGACCAATTTTTTGCATGACCAAAAAATTGTTTTTTAAATAACTTTACTTAGGTATAATTTACATACTGTAAAATTTACTAATTTTAGATGTAAAATTCAATAATTCTTAATTTATTGAATTTTTACTGAGTTTATTATTGAATTTGTTCTGAATTTTTTAGTGATTTACTGGACAATCACTATTGTCCAGTTTTTGAACATTTCTATTACCCCAACAACATCCTTCTGGTCTCTTTTACAAAAAAATCTCCTTACCCACCTAGCCCCAAGCAGTCATCAGTATGCATTCTGTCTCTGTAGATTTGCCTTTTCTGAGCACTTCATATAAATGGAAACCTATAACATGTGTTCATTTGCATCTGGCTTCTTTCACTTAGCATAATGTTTTTGGGGTCTATCCAGTTGTATTTCATTCCTTTTGATTGCTGAGTAGTGTTTCATTGCATTGATATTGCATTCATTGCATTGATTCACCAGATGATGGACATTTGTGTTGGTTCCAGTTTTTTTGCTATTGTGAATAATGCAGCTATGAATATTTGCATGGACATTATCTTTCTAAGCAAGAAAATGTCATTAGTAAACAGGGCAGTGAATAAAACATGTATAGGAAGAGTGATTATATAAATTATGTGTATTGGGAAGAAAAATTAGGATAAACAACCTGGAGATGCCCAAGAGGAAGGCATCTGGCTCCTGGGTTCAATTTGTACCAAAGAGCCAAGGAGATTTTGGAACCACATTCTTGCAGAAGCATAGAAGTATATGGGGGAAATTATTCAGGATTTTCTCTGATGGATTAGCAGCATTCAAAGACAGTTCTTAAGGAATTTATTTTCGTTGTATTAATATAATATGTAGCCAATGCAGACTTTGGTAACACATTTGAGGTTGAGGACGGGAATCCCATTATAAGCCACCTTGTCATGAAGACAGAGGTGACAGGGACCTTTAAAAAGTGAAAAATAAACAATGGGGTTAAATGTATTTGAGTCTAGATCCAGGGGCTGCCAATATTGGCAGGTCAGATTTTTCATCAGTGTCCTGGGAGCCAGTGGCATCTATTTCATAAGGCTGCTGTGAGACTTCCTTAGCATAAAGCCTGGCACCCAGTGAGCTCTGATATTATTTTTATAGGATTGAATCTTGCCTGAGATACCCAGAAACAGTGGTTTTGACCTCTGTTATTCCTGAGAAAGTTTTACTTTTTTTCACTGGATGTTTCTGGCCCAAGATCCTGGCAAACAGAGGTATAAATTTCCTTTAGAGGTGATACAATGTTTGTGGAAGTGGAACCTCATAAAAAATATTGCTCATCTCCCAGAATTTATAGGCTGGTAGAAAGATTTAGTGTAAATGTCAAGGGAGCGGTTAGGACTTAGGGGGCTCAACACCAGAACAATTAGCATGATAGGTTAGTAACTCATTTTGCATATAAAATTGTTGCTAGGACTCTCAGCGTTCTCTCTATTTATGGAAGACAGTCAGAGGTCCTTGGGTTTAATCAAAATTTAATACCTTGTGAGGGGAAATATGAAGAATACAAATTTTCAGTAATAGGCAATATGTCAAATGCAGTAATTGCCAGTTTTAAAGAGTCTTTCTTTGTCAGCCTGTGTGCCCTCATTTGTAGTTAGACCATACTAAATCTCTGGGAAAATAAAGGAATATTCTGCTGCAGTAAAATAGTCAAAGACTCAACAAAACCATAATAAGTAAAATGACAAAACAGCATATTCAAACGTATTTAAATCAGGAGATTTTTTTCCCCAGGAAAAGTTGACAACTCCTATTTAATTTGGGGCAGAGCAGACAAGTCTTCTGTGAGCTGCATATATATTCACCCAAACTGTAAATTAAGAAGGCCGAGGTCACGAGTTCCAGAAATCTTTCTGTTGAGGTAAACCAGAATCTGAGGAGGAAGCAGTCATTAACTGTGCTTGTTTGTCACCGGAAGAATGTAGCTCAGTTAGGCAAACAAGGAAATGGAGACGGGTTTAGAGTGCTACAGGCATCTTAGGGCAAACCAAGTATTAATACTATTGACTTAGTGATATAAACTGTAAGTAAAAGGAATAGCAATCCTATTAGGTGTTTTGGTGGTATACGGACTTATTGGCTTCAATTTTTGTAGCCTTATAGCCACAGCCATTGCCACTGGACTTTCAAGTTCCTCTACTGGAGACAATGATGTTGGGTTTGGACATGTGGCATACTGTGGTCAATGGGATGTGAGCAGAGTGACCACTTGCCAGTCATTAAGAGGATTTGTGTTTTCAGTTGTCATCTTGTGATCTGCCATTG